AGGCCTACACGAGATGAGGCAGGATAAAGAGGGATAATCCCCCTCGATCCCAAATCATTGAGGCCAATTTCTAGCCATAGAATAATGGCGCGAGCTGTTTCTAACCTCAAAAAAATTGATCAGAATCAACTTTTTAAAAAATTTTCAAAATTTTTTAAAAATTCAAACGATTACACCAAATTTAGCATATGGGGGTTTTTGAGGTCACCGATTACAAACCTGAAGTCAGATCTGCAAAATTCACAATGACAGATCCAATAACAGACGATATTTTTGAAAATCAACCGATTAAAAGGTACTCAAATGCAGAAAATTATTTTTTTATGCTATATTAATTACTTAACTAAATCGTTCCCGCATATGTTTCAGGCCGATACTGCTAAATTTGTTGGACTATTCAAACATATTGGTTAGAGTTTAAATGCTAATACCGGATTTGTGTTTAGGAGGTCAAAATACATTGGAAAGCATATGGACAAAATTTGTTTTTATCTGTTTTCAATATTGTAAAACAAAATTTTTGTAAAATCCTTATAGTTTCTGAGAAAAAAATTATTGAAGTTATAGCACTACATAGCTGGACAACTGTAGTCTCTAGCATCATTCGCAATACGCGTGGAGAGCCATGTGACTCCTAATACTGAAATCCGTCGTAGCGATAGTTTTTACCTGTTATCTGTGGTATTTACATCAGTTTTTTAGTAGTTAGTGTCAAAAATGGCTTGTGTGTATAGCAACTCAGAGTTGATGGATATCGTTTTAATTTATGGTGAAGCAAGACAACATTTGTATTATGGTGAAGTATTTGTGTTATGGTGAAGCAAGACATCATTTGTGTTAGTTCGTAGAAAGTGAGTAAGACGGACCCAAATGTGTTTACACGTGAGTGGATAAAATTTTGAACAATTGCTATTGCAGCATCGGGTATGTCAAATGATTTTATTATTTAAAAACACAAATTAATTTTATTAACAATTAATAAAGGCAAAAGCATTTGAATTTGCCGATATAAAATAGGTGCCATAAAATTCTATTTACATATTTCTTTCCTTGCGAAAGTTTTTGTCCGTTTTTATCACGCCGCCATACCGGTCGCATTGTGCAAGGTCAGGTTTTACACTGGACCAGTTTCCAGTGCCGTGCAGAAGTGTATTTTTAAATCAATTTCGAACTGACCTTTTTGATTTTTTCTTTACAAAATTGTATTTGTAAGGGTTGTACATCCAGAATTTTTTTTTTGGATAAGTTCTGAATCGCCCTGTATAAAACACAATTTAAAAACCAGAAAATTTTCTAACTGAAGTTACCTGAATGGTGGGGATTTCAAGTAAATTTCATAATGTTGTACCTGTTATTATTTACAATTATCAAATGAAAACTGGACTTTATCCTTCATCATTCGATTGCAATAATCCCCGTTCCCCAACTTTCCCCTATACTTTTCATAAGATCTTACCAACATTGGGGAACTAGTTGTTCCGTGTACACTTCCTCCACTAACAGATTTCTGATGGTTTCTTAACATTGTGAGTGACCTTTGCAAAACTCCTCCTCGTACCTTTCCATATACGGTTAAGTATTCATCACGACCATGACTTAAAAGCCATGAAGCTATTTGGATTAACTGAGATTTTGCCTCATCAGGTATTTGTTTCGGGATTACTTTGACATCTTTGGTATTTGTAGAATCTGCATGTAAAAATTAATAACAATAAAATAATAATAATATAAAATAATAATAATAATAATGATAATGATAATAAATAATAATAACAATAAAAAATTGATCTTACCATCGAAATTAATCAAATCCAATAAAACCACTGGTAATATGGGTGTATTGTATCTGCCCAGAATAGTTTTAAATTCAGCATTCAATTTATCACTCCCTTTGTGAAAGAATTGAGACTAAAAATCCAAACGTATTATAAAAATAGTCAGCTATTGTCGAACTGGAATCAGTTTGGACCATCGGACAAATGTGATTTTTGAGCCCCTACTGTCAAATGAAAGATTAAAATTTATAGTATGCAGGATGTTTCATTTAAAACTCCCTGTCCAATATCTTAAAAAAGTATTAAGCTAATTTAAATAAATCCGAAAATTTTCTAAAAATCCTATCAAATGAAATCAAACAATGTTCTTCGATACTAAATATCTAGATATGCAAATAATATCTAATCTCATAGACAAGATATTCAACTGATTTTATGGGCTACATGTCCCCATTAGCACTGAATTGTATTCAATGAATTATACTAGCAATATCTAATAAATAGCTACTAATACTAATTAATACATACATATACAATGAAAGTGAACGTTTAAAATATGAAATATCAATAGAAAAAGAATGAGATGTCATATTGTGATTTATCATAAAAATGTTTTAGGCAACTAGCTACTGAATTCTATTGACAATTTCATTTACTTCAATTTCGTTTCATTGATTTGAATGAATATTACTATTCTAACAAAGCAGGTATCTCAAAACTGATGTGCAATTATTTACTAACAGATACTACTACCAAAAATAAGATTATTTTTTAAAAAGATTGTACCTATTTTTAGTTTTCAGTTATGTGTGTAATATATGCATATTCAAAATGAAATGTTTCCAGTTAAGCAAGAGCAGCTTTAGGCTGAACCACGCCTTAATAAAGACATTATTATTATTTATATTATTATTGTTCTTACAGAGGGTGTCACCTAAGGAATGTTACATACTTCAGGGGTATAATCTAGAACCCAAATGATGTCGATTTAACCAAACTTACTTAAACGAAAAATATCACAAAAAAAGTTACGTGATGTAAAAGTTTCTTTTTTTATATATTTCTTGTTTTCTTCTTAGTTCAGATCCCAGTTAACTGATTTCAGCAAAATTTGCTGTTGCTAAGTTTCTCTTCAGGAGATATGCAGTGATTATGTTCCTATTAGGTTAAATTGTACAGGGCGTTCATTTTACTACAACTCTTTGTGTAACTTTTTTGTACGTTAAATTTTTACAAGCAACTATCAGAAATAGGTAGAGAATTTTATTCTATACAAAAAATGTATACCCACCTACCAAAAGTCGAAATTATGCTCGGTTATGAAGATATTGAATTGACTCTGTCTATAACCATAGTGCACTTCTACATCCCGTTTTTCATATTATTGCGCTAACAGAGACATGGTTGACTCCTGAGGTCCTCAGTTCCGAATTATTTAATCCAAATCTTTTTAATGTATTTAGATGCGACCGGAGATCAACTTATAAAAGTAGGGGAGGTGGGGTCTTAATTGGGATTAATTCAGATTTAGATACTTCGCAAATCTATGATAACGATTTTGCTGTTAAGCTTGATCATATTCAATGTATCGATATTGTTGGTATTCGAGTCTCTCTACGAAATAAATATATCAATTTCTTCGTCATATATGCTCCTCCCAGTACACCTCTGGAATCATTTGAGTATATGTTTGAGTATCTTGAATCTTTGGAGAGCAATCTTACTTGTGATGAGCTCATTATTGTTAGCGATTTTAATGTCCCCGAGTTCCTTAGTTCACAAAAAAGCGGTGAGCATACGTCTAAGGTTAGTTCGATTCTACAATTTTGCAATTTCTTATCATTAAGACAGCAGAATACAAACCCCAATTTTAATGGTCGTTTGTTGAATTTGATGTTGACCAGTAATAATTGTACGATAACTCAATGTGATTCACCTATTGTAACTATAGACCGGTATCATCCCCCACTTGAAATTGACTTACTCGTGGATATCTCTATCGGTAAAACTGAATATGCCGAAAGCCCCTCATATAATTTTCGATGAGTGGATTTGGTTACTCTGTATCAAAATTTGGCACTGATCGATTGGTCGGATTTATATGCAACCGTTGACATTAATAAGGCTTGTGACTGTTTTTATCGACTTATTTACACGGTGTTCGACGACTGTGTCTTTAAAACTAAGCCTTATGTCAGTAAGTATCCTCCTTGGTTCAACTTTAATATCAAGAAACTTATTAGAGAGAAAACTATCTGTTGGCGCAAATTTAAAAAACATGGTTGTATGGAGTCGAAAAATAAATTTGAGGAATTGAGATCAAGAATTAAAATAGATATTAGAACCTCGTATACAAATTTTATCAGGAATATCGAATCCAATATTTCCTCCAACCCTAATAAATTCTGGTCTTATATAAATAACAAGAAGAAAAACTCTTGTATACCATCTAGAATGAATCTGGATGGTGAGTCTTATGAAAATTTGCAGGATATTGTAAATGCTTTTAATAGATTCTTTTCTAGTAACTATTCATCTGCTGCAGCCCAAAACAATTGTTGTAATGATGGCAATTCAAATATTTTATATATTGAAAATATTTCTGAAAACGAAACCTACCTTGCACTTAAATTGTTGAAACCTAAAATGACAACCGGGCCAGATTTCATTCCATCTTTCCTTCCTAAAGATTGTGCTTCTGTGCTATGTAAGCCAGTAAATTTTCTTTTTAACTAAATTCTTAGTAAATCAAACTAAATTAAATCAGAACATTTAATTGTCGAGATAAAATGTGAATTGACAGTTAGGTGTGGAAAAAAAATTGTATATTGATTTGAATAGTTTTGTATTTTAGAATCGAACAGAATTGAAAGAAATGAAAGAATATTTAATTGTAACAATAAAACATCAATGTGCTTCTTACCAAACACATTAGCAAATAAATAGATTACTCAGGTATTTGGTGGGTAGTGAGTAGTTTCACTAGCAATATTGAGTGAGGAATTTCCTACGAATTATGAAATGAGAGACATGATGTGGTGCATGTAGAGGAACATATGAAGAACTTTATCCGAATCACAGACAGCCTTCTCATACATTGTTTCCTTCTTTATTCACCAGTTAAGAAGAAACTGGAAACTTTCGGTCTAATTCACGAAACGGGAGATACGTCCAAATAGGGGTACAAGAACAAATTCTAGAAAGAGTAGAAGAAAATCCCAAAATTAGTATTCATCATTTGTCAGCAGTCACAGAAATTGCCCGGAAAACCGTTTCAACTATACTCCACACGCAGCAGTTACGTTTCCATTTTCATCCTGTACAAAATTTACTTGATCCAGACCGCTCGCTGAGATTAACATTTTACAAAAGATTTCTAGTTATATAAACGGGGTCACACTTTTCAGTTAACGTCTGATGCGGAATTATAGGTTTATTTTGGGGCATATCGCTTTACATACTTGCAAGGTTGAACAACCAAAATGATTTGGAATTTCTTTGCCGAGAACTTCCCGGGGCTCTCGAAGAAGTACCCATTAATGCTAGATGACAAATGTGGTTTATGCACAATGCAATGCAATTACAGCCATTTGGTGAGAGATCATTTAAATCAAGCATTTCCAAACTATTGGATTGATCGAGGTAGTGACTTTCCTTGGCCTTCTTGCTGTCCAGATTTTAATCCATTAGACTTTTGGGGTCATTTGGAAGGCATTGTTTACAACTCTGTAACACCTAATACGGGAGAAGAACTTTGGAATAAAAGACGCCATATGACAAGTTAGACGAAAGTATAATTCGTTTGCTATTCTAAATAGTTTCATAAACGTTTAAGGAAATGTGTCGAGAGAATGGGGGACATGTAGAACATTTATTATAAATTAGTAGACTTTTTATTACTGCTACCTTTCAGTTTATTATGTTATTAATAACGTTACTTAGGTATTATGTTTATTATGGATACGGTTATTTCCAAAAAATATGGAATGTGTTAATAAATATTTTCTGTAATATTTTCATAACCGAATATAATTTCCTTTTGACAGGTTTCCTTTTTTTGTATAGAATTCCCTACCTCTTTCTGATAGTTGTGTGTAAAAATTTAAACATACAGACACGGTACAGAAGAATATTTATAAAGGGTTGTAGGATTTTGGAAAATTCTGAAAAAAACTACTTTTTTTATATAAATTCTGCAGAAATTTTGCATGAAAATTCGATCTTTGTCTTTCAATGCGTGCTGCTTTTTTAAATTTGTTTTTTTCATTTTTCTCAACGTCACATAGACACTACACATATTTTAAATAAGAAAATTTTTGCATTTTGATGCAGATAGAATTTCATAGGGAGTGATGCATCCCTGTATGCACAGAGTTGCGGGGCGCTGGTAGGGAGCCGAAGGCTCAGGGAGGGCATTTAGTCATATGGGAGACACTCTCCAGCAGTCAAAGCAAACGCTTGTATTTTGTTCAATATACATAATATCAAAAATACGACATTTATTTTACCTGTGGAATTTCACCTAACAACAAGAACCGACAACAGAGATTGGAATGGTCAGCCAGAAAATACATATTAATTTCAAACAGGGCCCCAGTACAAACAGGGAGCTAGGTAGTACACTGTTTTGAAAGTCGTTCTGCAACCTTGCTGTGACTCACTACAACAGCCCCGCCATTTTGACGATGAATGAATTCAAATAAATTTTTTTATATACTTCAATATCCTATTAAAGAACACCTCTCGGAGCACCTACACTCCGATGAATGTAGAATGAATATTTCTTAGTTTAAAAAATTCCTCAAAATTGACTCATTTGAGTCATTGACACTAAGAACTCCTTAGCAAAGTGACAGCTGATTGTTTCATCCCACCGTTTCATAAATTCTTTGTGGGTGTCTTCCTTGATAATTCCAACAAGTGCCGACAACGGAAAAATTCGCCTTACCAATTGCAATAACCAAGTCACTAATGCGCATGGTTGCGAATATATACGGTTTGAGCAGCCTGATCCAATTTAACTATTCATGCAAATTAATCCGTCTGGAGCAGTTTGAGCCCTATAAATTTTTAGCGAATATATACGTCTGGAGCAGTGAAAGGGTTAAGCAAGTTTGGTTAAATCGACACGCACTTGGGTTCTAGATTATACCCTTGAAGTATGCAACATTCGTTAGGTGACACTCTGTATATTATTATTATTATATTACTATTACTATTACTATTACAATTACAATTACAATTACAATTACAATTACAATTATTATTACAATTACAATTACAATTACAATTACAATTACAATTACAATTACAATTACAATTACAATTACAATTACAATTACAATTACAATTACAATTACAATTACAATTACAATTACAATTACAATTACAATTACAATTACAATTACAATTACAATTACAATTACAATTACAATTACAATTACAATTACAATTACAATTACAATTACAATTACAATTACAATTACAATTACAATTACAATTACAATTACAATTACAATTACAATTACAATTACAATTACAATTACAATTACAATTACAATTACAATTACAATTACAATTACAATTACAATTACAATTACAATTACAATTACAATTACAATTACAATTACAATTACAATTACAATTACAATTACAATTACAATTACAATTACAATTACAATTACAATTACAATTACAATTACAATTACAATTACAATTACAATTACAATTACAATTACAATTACAATTACAATTACAATTACAATTACAATTACAATTACAATTACAATTACAATTACAATTACAATTACAATTACAATTACAATTACAATTACAATTACAATTACAATTACAATTACAATTACAATTACAATTACAATTACAATTACAATTACAATTACAATTACAATTACAATTACAATTACAATTACAATTACAATTACAATTACAATTACAATTACAATTACAATTACAATTACAATTACAATTACAATTACAATTACAATTACAATTACAATTACAATTACAATTACAATTACAATTACAATTACAATTACAATTACAATTACAATTACAATTACAATTACAATTACAATTACAATTACAATTACAATTACAATTACAATTACAATTACAATTACAATTACAATTACAATTACAATTACAATTACAATTACAATTACAATTACAATTACAATTACAATTACAATTACAATTACAATTACAATTACAATTACAATTACAATTACAATTACAATTACAATTACAATTACAATTACAATTACAATTACAATTACAATTACAATTACAATTACAATTACAATTACAATTACAATTACAATTACAATTACAATTACAATTACAATTACAATTACAATTACAATTACAATTACAATTACAATTACAATTACAATTACAATTACAATTACAATTACAATTACAATTACAATTACAATTACAATTACAATTACAATTACAATTACAATTACAATTACAATTACAATTACAATTACAATTACAATTACAATTACAATTACAATTACAATTACAATTACAATTACAATTACAATTACAATTACNAACGAGCGTTCAAATAAAAACGTGGTCAAGTTGGTTCTGAAAATTTGGACGTAGGGCGTAGCGTATAGCAAATGAACTTAAACGTCATCTGTCAAAGCGCTATATCACCGCTATCAATTTGAATATTTTCGTTTTAAAAAGCGTTTAAAACGAAAATATTCAAATTGATAGCGGCGATATAGCGCTTTGACAGATGACGTTTAAGTTCATTTGCTATACGCTACGCCCTACGTCCAAATTTTCAGAACCAACTTGACCACGTTTTTATTTGAACGCTCGTTACATATTTCTATGCTTTTGTACTTACGACATTAATCAATTCAACACTTTGTGGAATGTTTCTTTCAAAGTATTTCTGAGCACTTGCTAATCTATTTAGGGCATCTAAATAAGCATACAAGTCTATTCCACCTTCACCTGGACCTCTTTCTATAACATTTTCTACCTCACTGGACACTTCATAATAACTTATAACATTATCTAATAGTTGCAAAGTACGATCAATATCTTAAAAGAAGTCAAGGAAAATATTTTTACACATTATGCATCTCATGTAAAGGATCCACAAAATGAATGGAAATTGGGTCCTGCTAGATTTGGCTGGAATTGTAATATGTCATATTTCTCGACATTCTGATGAAAAGTTGTCACGGGCCCAAAGTGATCCTATGGATAGTTTCAGAGATATAGAGGGGGGAAGTGTGTGATTTTGGCTGTAGAACTGAGTAAGCTTCACGAAGTTTCAAGTTGATGGATTCAAAAACTGAGGCATGAAATGAATTTTGGGATCGCTGAACCTTAATTCTTGAATAGCTTAGCTATCTAAGGTCACCTAGAGGTCAGATAAAGGTCGTTTCAAGGGCAAATTGAAGAAAATACTTGTATTGAATATTGACCAGTAAGTGTTTAGGTCTTTGGGCTCGCAGAATCTGAATCTGGAGATAGATCATTTCAAGATGAAACTAAAGAAAAGGCTTGTATTGAATTTCAACCAATGCGTATGTTTTTTTTTGGGGGGACTGAATTTGGGGATAGCTTAGCCCTACAAGGTCACATTTAGGTCAAGATCATTTCAAGGTCAAAGTAAAGAAAATGCCTTTCACAAATGTTAACCTGTAAGTATGGATACTTTTGAGGTTGCTGAACCTGAATTCGGGGATAGCTTAGCATTATAAGATCACCTGCGGGGCTTGAATTGAGATTAAGTGATTAAGTCAAATGAGATGACCTTGACTTGATTTCCAGGTGACCTTATAGGACTAATCTATCCGCAAATTCAGGTTCAGCGACCTCAAAAGCATACATACTTACAAGTTAACATTCCTGAAAGGCCTTTTCTTTACTTTAACCTTGAAATGATCTTGACTTGACTTAAATGTGACCTTGTAGGGTTAAGCTATCCCCAAATTCAGTTCCCCCCCCAAAAAAAAAATTATATACGCACTGGTTCGCACGCACGCATCTTGAAATGACTTTGAATTGACTTGAAGGTGACCTTTAGGATTACGCTATCTCCAGATTCAGATTCTGCAAGCCCAAACACCTATACACTCACTGTTCAAAATTCAATACAAGTCTTTTCTTCAGTTTGACTTTGAAATGACCTTTACCTGACCTCCAGGTGACCTTAGATAGCTAAGCTATTCAAGAATTCAGGTTCAGCGATCCCAAAAGCATTGTACCTACTAGTCAAAATTGCCTCAGTTTTTGAATCCATCAACTTGAAACTTCGTGAAACTTACTCATTCCTACAGCCAAAATTACACACTTTCCTCCTCTATATCTCTGAAACTATCCATAGGATCACCTTGGGCCCGTGACAACTTTTCATCAGAATGTCGAGAACTATAACATATCACAATTCCAGCCAAATCTAGCGCGACTCAATTTCCATTTATTTTCTGCGGGGTCCTTTCAAGTGACCCGATAGCAGGGGTCACCCAGTACACTATTTATTACTCTATACTCCTGTTGTCATTATCTCAGTCTTATAAAAACAAACAGTATATTCTAATACAGGATGTGTCACCTGAAACTATCGGGATCTAAATTGCGAAAAATACTTTCAGGAAAATTCTTTACTTAATAATAGTAGTGAGCTAACCAAAATATTTATTATCATCTGTTACTTCCAATTATTTCAGAAGACGACACTAATTTTCTTATTTTAAACAAAATCTTCAATAGAATTCTTCAAGAAGTTTTGGGTTTTTTTTGTTAATTTCAACATTAGCTGTAAAATAGTTTTAGATTTTCACCTACCTGATGTTATTTTAATAAAAAAAATCTTGGAATGACATGTTTGAATAATACAGAAGACATCTTTTTCTTAGAAACCAACACGAAAATCTTAAGAAAAAGGTGCATTTCAAAATTACTTAATTGTGAATGGAACTGTTCACTTCTTCCAGCAAACTACTTGAAATGTTGGAAACTAACAGAAACACACTAGTTATTTGCTATGCACTCTAACAATTTTTCAATATAAAATTGTTATACAAATACAAATAGTTTCCAACATTTCTCACTGCTTTAATGCTCTACTGATTGGCCTATTCTAATAACTTACTGAAACAAACCTAACGTAACAAGTTGGTAAATTTTAACCATTTTGTCACTTGCATATTCTTGGTAAGTTTATAGATAATCTGGACGAGGAGGTACCTTTAAAGACAAACCTACAAAGGTCACATCTTAAAAACAACTGAAATTTTTCAAAAGATATTGATTTTTACCAAAAAAGTGATATAGTAAGTTGGTGCCTATTATCATTATGACCCAAATGTAAATGTAAATATTTTAATTTTACTAGTGACATTTGGACAAAATGTGGTAGTTCCTGGTAGAACATTTATAAATATACTCAGCATTCGTTGAAATGAACATGGACTTAAAGTGTGACATTTTTTTTGTTTTGGTTCAAACTATTAGGGAAAGAACCATTTGTACGTGTATCTCATATATTTACATTTATAAAATATATGAGATCTATCACAAGCAGAGAAAAAAAAAGCGGTATGTATATCAGGGTATGTTGCTTATGAATAATAAGAATTTAATTAATCATATTTCCCACAACTAAAATAAAACATAAATTTAGGCACACTGCACTTTTTCAATTTTCTATACAGGGTGTCCCACCAGGAATAGCCACTAACGATATCTCGGAAAGTATTGATCCGATAAATCTAAAAATTTGGCAACATAGCAAAGACAGTAGGACCAACACAGCTAAAATATTTAGAACTTTATAGCACTTCCGATTATACCTGAAGCCGACATTAACTTTCATATTTTAAATGAGACACCCTATATTTTATTATATTTTATTAAATATTCCCTATACCTAAGAGTTATAGATTTTAAGATATTAATTTTTAAAGAAAAAAATTTGACAGATGCAAGAGTCCGCGGAGCTGCTAGTAATTTTATTCAGAAGCGTGATATATCAAGTGGATTTTTGGTACCTGTCAAGGACATAAACACTATGGTATAGCAACAAATTAAAATATTTAATACTATGTGTTTCACTTTTGCTGTTACATTTTGATAACTTTAAACAGCTATAACTTTGTTAACTTAAATTGAACGCCCTGTACTTACTCTGTCGTATGCAGATTGAAATTTCCTTTCAAGTCGTATTGTTAGGGTTGTCGTTACTACTTTCAGAGAAGATATTTGCAATTTTCTATTTTTTAGACAGTTTTTCTTATATTAGACCTGTTATCAAATTGGCCATGACCTTTAGAAACACTCCAAAAATAATTAAAATAACTTTTGTCAAGCTAGTTGTCATATTATTGTTATGTCTGTAATAGTTTTTGCTGAAAATTTAAATAAAAATGCCTAGGGATTGTTTAAATTATACTATTGAGGATTATTTTAATTTGTCTGTTATTTATGGGCAATGTGACAAAGTAATTTCAAGAAACAAGTTAAAATAATCCTCATTGGTATAATTTAAATGCTCCCCAGAAATTATTATTTATTAACAATAATTTGACAAATGTCAAGTTATTTTAATTGTTTTTGGAGTCATGGCCAATTTGATAACAGATCCGAGATAAACTGTCCAAAAAATAGAAAATTGAAAATATTTCTAAAAGTAGTAATGGCAATACTAACAATGCTTGAATGATCTCTTTGAGGAACCTGGCGCACCCCATCATATTTAGCCTTTCGTCAGATATGGGGCACTGCCTGGTGGTGACTCATATTTCCTCCAAACTTGTGGGACCTTTATGGACCGAGGAAAAAAAATAAACAGGACCCCGAAAGGGGGCCTTCAACATCTGCCACGAAAGCAGTAAGTGCAGACCGGGCAGAAAATAAGACAGTCAGTGGGAAGCAAACACCAGTGACTGCCATCTCTAGGGAGTAGATAGTCGGGGGTCCAAGCAGTAGTGGTCCCCCATGGATATCGGGAAGTCCGAATGGATGAGGACCAGATGGGGCTTGTCCAGTCGGCACTTCTGGGGCCATTGATGGGATCGCGGGCGAGGGAACAAGACCGCGCTTCCTGGAGTGTCGTCAAAGGGGGGAACGCGTTACATCACTGCCTTCAATGAGGAGGGCCTACAATGGCTAAAATCGACTACGGTGAGCTTGGTGCCTTGGTAGGGGGCTAGCGCTGTTGAGCCTAGGCATCTCACGAAGTTCATCATATGGATTCCGGAACATCCCAATGAATCGGAAACCATTCTGGTCATCTGGAGAACCAAAACGGCAAATTGAAGACAGGGGCCTAAAGGCTAATCAACCGCAAGGTTGAGGAGAAGGGCCAGATCCTTGTCATAATTCCATAATTTAGTGTACCTATGCCCTTTACAGGAATAAAAAAACCACTTAATATCACTTCTGAAAAGAGTTACTAACATCTCCACGACCCTTGCCCATGTGAATTTTTTTCTTTAAAAATTAATATCTCAAAATCTATGATAAAGTTGATGTCGGTTTCGGGTACAACCAGAAGTAATAATAATAAGTTTAATTAATAATAATGTTTAATAATAATAATAATAATAATAATAATAAGTTTAATTATCCCAACAGGATTGAACCCAATTACAGGAATAAATAATAATAATCTAATACAGTAATTGTACAGTAATTACTAACCAAGGAAGTGACATAAAGTTCTAAATATTTTAGCTGTGTTAGCCCTACTGCCTTTGCTAGGTTGCTAAGTTTTCAGATTTATTGCATCAGTATACTTTGAGATATCGATAGTGGCGATTCCTGATGGGACACCCTGTATAGAATATCTTTAAAACACAGCGTTTGAGAACATATTTTTGTTAATTTTTCATGTTGAATCATCTGTTAACTGATAACACCCCAATATTTCTGTTCCATTGCCCTGCTTCAGTGGTTTTCATATGAGACATAATACAACAGAATATTAACCGTTCGTGCAATGTAGAAAATAAATCCGCTGCACTCTAAGCGCATTAACTTGCATATTATTTTTAAATTGGATGAGGCTGCTCAATACTTTTTAACATGACAGTGTTTTCCTAGATTTTAAAATTTATAAGTTGTTATGTGCTCAACTCCAAAACTTTTTTCACTCTGTATCTGTATGATTCTGGGTACTTACTGAATTTGAAGTGTTTTTTAAAATAGGTTATTAATATTAGATTTATTTTTTTTGTTTTTCTTTCAATAAATAAATATTTACAGGACCCTATATTAAAATTTTGCTGATTCAAGATTCCACAATTAAGAGACTGGTACTACAAAGACTGCATGACTTAACTGATTGTGGCCAAATACACCATTCACCAAATTTGACCAAGTATTTTAATTAGATCTAGGATGTGTTCAGCGAATGGTCGGACTAGTTCGGTCAAACTTCTTTAGTCCAACAATTTGCTGAACCGTCTTTAGTAACTGTAACCTGCCCAATATTCCCGATCAGCTGATTGGGCTGACCAACAAAATATTTGTCCGCTGAATGACTTTCACTGGTCCGACCATTCGCTGAACACAGCCGTATTTTTTAAACTTTTATTAATTTAAATCTAAAATCAAATATCAATACATTTACTATTAAAGTCCAATGTCCTTGTATGTTATTCCTATATGTTTTTGAGACAGGAAATGTGTGCCTCAAAAAAAGTTGTACTGAGCAACAGCTCACAGAGGGTCTACTTGATAACTTCAGATCATAGATTTGGTAGGGGATGGATCCTTCAAACTGTAATCAGTTAGATCATGTTGGTTTTGTAATGTAAATGCATGAAAACATTTTAAAACTTAAATATTACTGTAAATTATTGTAAATAATACTATAAGTAAACTCAAATAGTACCTACTCAGTATGTACCGTTACATTTCCATAATATGCTTTTAAAACTTGGTATTAAACAATTTAAAAAGTTGCTTACAACCATGTTGCTTCGTATCTCAAAAAATAAAAAGGAAAGTATAAGGTGGATTAAATAATCGCGTTAACTTTTTACATCATAATGGTATGTATACCTCATCATACCCAACATCAAAGGATCATATGGATATGGTTTTAAATCTTACATTACCGATTTAAAAACAGACCGTAAATAAATAAAAAATAAGTAATACTTATTTGCCGTCTATTTTTATCGAGGTAAAAAGGATACTATATTGAGCCTTCTGCAAGTTTTCAGTGTCATTATATACAGGTAAAATTGTATCTTCCAATCGAGATAATCTCTGTTCAAAAGTATTCAAAATTGAACCTATTCCTTTTGTCAGTTGTGCACTTTTTGATAACCTTTCTTGCAATAAAGCCAGGTTAGACTGCTCCTATAAATAAAGATATTGAAATTACATTTATCGCCAAAATTAATATTTAATCCACCTTTTCTAATTTATTTGATATCTCTAGTTTCTTCTCTTCTATCAAGTTCATATTTTACCTTAAAATCGCTTTACAAATATATTTTATCTATGTTTATCGCTACTGACAGTACTTATTACTGATCACAAAACATTAGGCTTTTTCTTGCGAGTGTAGTCGTATGTTGTGGTATGTGTAATATGAGTGAGTGAAGAGATTTAAGCTACCATATGACAACTAAGAGCAAAAGAGATACAAATAGTGATAACAAGTCAGATATTCAACAATATTCAGTCGCGAAAAAAAGCCTATATAATCCAGTAACGACAGACAGTAGTGACAGTACTGACAGGAGGAGGTTCACTGTAGAGATGGGTAACTCAGTACTGCGTTGCGTTATTGCGCTGAAGCAATTGCCTGCGTCACTGCGCTGATACCAAACCATGGCTAGAAATTGGCCTCAATGATTTGGGATCGAGGGGGATTATCCCTCTTTATCCTTTATCCTCTCGTGTAGGCCTGGACAGCCTTCGTAGGTGGGCCCCATCCGTCGTCTACCCCGACCGCAAATGCGGCCGGTGTAGGCACTTTGTGGGACCTCCTTTTGTCCTGGCTGGGCCCCGCCAGCTAGGGCCCTTTCTTCTGGCGCTCTTCTTGCTTCGCCGGCTCGTCTGTGTAAACCCCGGGGGTAGTGTCATGTTTATGTGTGGTATGGTTGGGTAGGGTAGTGCGGCTATGCAGCCTGGGATGCGCTTTGCTAAGGTGGCCCTTAGGCTAGCGCGGGAGGGGAGGGTTAAGGAGGGTATGGGGGGTGTGTGTGTGTGTGTGTGTGTGTGTCGTTGTCTTCGTTTCTTGATCCTGGCTGTCTCTGAAACAGAAAAGGTTAGCGGGCAGGGGGGGGGTCATTGGGGTGGTCACCCAGGGTCAAAAAGTTGGTGTCTAGGTCTTTTGTGTTTGTCGGTCACGTCGGGTACGTAGTCAACGGCTTGCCTGAGGAGGGGATTGTCATGTCTAGCGGCTACGTCAAATCGTTTCTCCGCGTTTTGTCTTATTGTCTGTGTAGCGTTTGTGTATTGTAAGTCTCGTAATATGTCAGTGTTTCTTACGTACCAGGGCGCGTCGGTGGCCGTGCGGAGGGCTATGTTTTCCACAGCCTGTAATGACTTTAAGTGGCTTTTTGCCGCGTGACCCCACGCCGTGGAGGCGTAGGTTAGCTGCGGTTGAAGTACCACCTTGATAAGCGTTCGCTTATTCCTTAAACTGAGGGTGTTTCCACCTTTGAGTAAGGGATAGAGCCTAGCCCTGGTGGTCTTCGCTCGCGCCACCGTCTCCACGATGTGCGGTTTCCACGTGAGACGCTGGTCCATCGTCACGCCCAGGTATCGTGTTTGTCGATTCCAGGAGATGGGTTCCTGGGATAGTGTCAGTCTGTCAAGGTTTTGTGGGATTTTTCGTTTGGTAAAAAGGATAGCGAACTTTTGTTGGGATTAATTTTGACTTTCCACCTGTTGCACCAGTTTGCAAGTTGGTCTAAATAGTTTTGGAGGAGGGAGGCCGAATGTCTAAGATCTACGGATTGGGATGTGATTGTCAGGTCGTCGGCGTATAAGTAGGTATATGTTGGTGTTAGGGGGATGTGGGATGGCGGAGTTGTAAATGGTGTATAGGTGTGGGGACAGGACGGTGCCCTGGGGGACACCGGCCTCCATGGGACGGGTGGTTGAAAGGGATATGGGATATTGGTTGGTGAGCATTTTCATCAGTAGGCCTTCATGCCAAACCGTATCGAAGACCTGCTCCGCGGACCAACTTCACGCTACCCTAATTACCCCTCCCCGCACAATAAATCCACCGAGTCGTTTGGCTCGATAGCAGCGTGCATCTTTAGCTACAATGCTACTCTCAAAAACTCACCCCCAGGGCGCGGGTGGCACCGTCACACGCGTTTGTGACAATAACTGCTACCCGAGGGGGTTAAACAAGCTGACGAAGAAAGAAGCGAGAAGACAAGGGTCGTCCAGGACAAGAGGAAGTCCTCCAAAGCGCCTACATCGGCCACCTTGTGGTCGGGGTCGACGATGGATTCGGATGGAGACCACCTTCACGAGGCTGTCAGGCCTGTGGTCCAGGCCTATAGCGATGAGGCAGGGCAAAGCCCTCGGTCCCAAAGCGTGTACAATAATTAATGCTAGGAGCTAAAGCGAAGTCACTAAACCTCTCCAAGTTGTAACAATGAAGTAATTTGGTTTTTGGTCGTAGGTTTGTGATCTTATGGCCGGTCCTCATGTACAATAATTTAGTGCGGAACTGCGGAGATGCGGAATCACGTGATCACAATATCGAAAAAATATTGGACGCACAGCAGCCATTTTGAAAAAGTGACAGATCCGCATGCGTTCCGGATAAAAGTTGACTAGGTTCAACTTTTTCCGTATTCCGGTGTTTACTTTTGTGCTCGTGTGACATTTATCGGCCATTTGTATTTGTTTATATTCTGAAAACGTGTTTGATTAGTTTGTTTTTTATCTATTTCGTCTCTATAATTAATTATCAGCCAAGAAAATATCTCTCACCCACATTTTTTTATGTTTTTTTTGAAACTCCAGAATAGAATTGTATATCTTATACATTTTTATCAATCTTTCACGGTAACATTTTTTATACCTCAAAGCACAGTCTCTGTATTGTTTCATTGAAACAGCAAGAGCCAAGAAAGCTGTATCTTCATCAAAGTTTACCATTGTAAATATATTTCACATAAAGATTAATAGATAATTATTTGAAATACCTGAATGAAAATACTCGAAAAGAAACCGGTGCAAATTTCTAGGTTATCCGCACAGAGTGACCATATATTTTTTAGCGAATCTACTGTAAAATTGCAGAAAATCCACTAAAATCTACCAACATAGTAATAAGAAATTACTAAAAATCTACTTCACTGTTATTTGATTATCTAACTAGTAAAAGCCATAGATTAGGACAATATACGTTAATTGCATATTGATTAATATTTCAATTAACGGTTATAAAGTAAAAATAGATAATTAGAATAAAAATGTAGGAGCCAACATATTTTTTTGCGCCATCTATTAATGAGTACAAGTATTCGCGCCGTATTGCGCAGACCAAAATGGAGCTAATTTTAAAGAGGGGAATTTGAATTGATGTTTTTATGAATGTGTATACGAAATAAATAGATCAAATAATTGAAATTTAACCAAAAGTATATTCCGTTTAAAAACCATAACCATACATATAAACTAAAAATAACAAACAAATATAAAAATGCTAATAAAAGAATGCATAACTTTCAAACATAACGTAACTATATTATTCTATATTCCATATAATTCTATATTATTTAAGGTTATGTTATGTCATGTCAGCAAGTCACGGAACACGGTTCGGAAAATTGGTCATGGTCAAATAAAAGTCTAATGTGAATCTGTAGCACTCTGTATTCTGTGGTCAAAAGGTCAAAGCAAAGTCTAGCTTGTTCGCTTCGGATTTGGAGCGAGCGTACCACGCGCCGAAGCTGTGAACGGTGGTAACATGAAACAATAAATTAGCCGCTTGCTTGACTAGGTTGCGCAAAATATGACCAATCGCGGCACAAAAATGTTTATTATATATCTACTAAAATCTACTGTAGATTTTTTACCTACCAAAAATTTCTATATTTCGCTGAAAATCTACCGAAAAAGTAGAAATCTACTAAATATGGTCACGCTGCGTCCCCGGCCGATCCAGCGGTTAGGAAAGATTTGGTTTAAATGGTTCTGAACAATTCGGCCATAATGTGGCGGAGCCCCATCTAGTTGAAACCACATATTTTGCCGAACCGCTAAAGGCAAATCATCAAGTAAGTCTGCAAAAGAGGTTTGCAGAAAATGCAAAAATTCGTCGGCATTCAAACGGGGGG